GTCTACAGCAATGAGTCTGGTCCTATTTCCCTCTCATACCTAGTTTTAAAATTATGAATAAAGAGAGAGAATACCTTCCCTTACCTTAATACTTAAGAATACCTTCCCCTTAAGTGGTTATCTTGAGGTTATCTTGAGATGATTTCGGGGCTTTTTAGTGTCCCCGCGGCCCGGTCCTCGACCAGGCCTCCACCCCCAGGAAGCAGCCCGTGACAGCTGACTAACACCCAGGTACCTATATTACTGCTAGGTAACAGAGGCATAGGGTGAAAGAAACTCTGCCCATTGTTTCTCGCCGGCGCCTGGGATCGAACCCAGGACCACAGGATCACAAATCCCGCGTGCTGTCCGCTCGGCCGACCGGCTCCTTCCGGAAGTGAATTCCATTATTCCCACTACTCTCACGCTAAAAGAAAACTTCCTAACATCTGTGACTCATCTGAGTTTCCAGCTTCCACCCATGTCCCCTCCTTCTGTTGCTATTCCATGTGAACATTTCGTCTATGTCCACTCTGTCAATCCCCCTGAGTATTTTATACGTTCCTATCATACCCCCCCCCCTCTCACTTCTTTTTTCTAGTGTCGTAAGACTCGGTTCCTTCAGGCACTCTTCATACCCCATCCCTTGTAACACTGGGACGAGTCTCGTTGCAAACTTTTGAACCTTTTCCAGTTTCCTTATGTGTTTCTTCAGATGGGGACTCCATGATGGGGCGGCATACCCTAAGACTGGCCTCACGTAGGCAGTGTAAAGTGCCCTAAATGCCTCCTTACTTAGTTTTCTTAATGATGTTCTAACTTTTGTCAGAGTAGAGTGCGCTGTTGTCGTTATCCTGTTAATACGTGCCTCAGGAGTTAGATTAGGTGTTACGTCCACGCCCAGGTCTCTCGCGTCGTCATAAGTAGGCAGTTCCCCTTCATTGTGTACTGTGCCTTTGGTCTCCTATCACGTTACCTTGAAGTGCTTCCGGGGCTTAACGTCCCCGCGGCCCGGTCGTCGACCAGGCCTCCTGGTTGCTGAACTGGTCAACCAGGCTGTTGGACGCGGCTGCTCGCAGCCTGACGTACGAATCACAGCCTGGTTGATCAGGTATCCTTTGGAGGTGCTTCTCTGGTTCTCTTGAACACTGTGAGGGGTCGGCCAGTTATGCCCCTTATGTGTAGTGGGAGCGTTTTGAACAGTCTCGGGCCTTTGATGTTGATAGAGTTCTCTCTGAGTACCTGTTGCACCTCTGCTTTTCAACGGGGGTATTCTGCACATCCTGCCATGCCTTCTGTTTTCATGTGATGTTATTTCTGTGTGCAGGTTTGGAACCCGCCCCTCTACTATTTTCCACGTGTAAATTATGTAATTCTCCCGCCTGCACTCAAGGGAATATAAATTTAGGCTCTTTAGTCGTTCCCAGTAGTTTAGATGTTTTACTGATTGGTTTCTAGCAGTAGAGGATCTCTGCACGCTCTCCAAGACAGCAGTTTCTCCAGCTTTGAAAGGGGCTGTCATTGTGCAGCAATACTAGCAAATATTGCGATATTGCAAATATTGCGAGATATTGCAATATTTAATATTTGAATAGTGGATACTGTTCCACTCTAGAGAGCACTAGCCGTTTGAAATGTATCATCATCGGTATACCTGCTTGATGGGGTTCTGGGAGTTCTACTCCCCAAGCCCGGCCCGAGGGCAGGCTTGATTTGTGAGTTCGGTCCACCAGGCTGTTGCTTGGACCGGCCCGCAGGCCCACATACCCACCACAGCCCGGTTGGTCCGGAACTTTTTAGAAAACAGTCTAGTTTTCTCTTGAAGATGTCCACGGTTGTTCCACCAATATTTCTTATAGTCGCTGGGAGGACGTTGAACAGCCGCGGACCTCTGATGTTTATACAGTGTTCTCTGATTGTGCCTATGGCACCTCTGCTCTTCACTGGTTCTATTCTGCATTTTCTTCCATATCGTTGACTCCAGTACGTTGTTATTTTACTGTGTAGATTAGAGATCTGTCCCTCCAGTATTTTCCATGTGTAGATTATTTGATATCTCTTTCGACTCCTTTCTAGTGAGTACATTTGGAGAGCTTTGAGACGATCCCAATAATTTAGGTGCTTTATCGCGTATATGCGTGACGAATATGTTCTCTGTACGCCCTCTATTTTTAGCAATTTCTCCTGCTCTGAAGGGGGAAGTGAGTATTGAGCAGTACTCGAGACGAGACAACACAAGTGACTTGAAGAGTATAACCATTGTGATGGGATCCCTGGATTTGAAAGTTCTCGTAATCCATCCTATCATTTTTCTGGCTGTCGCAATATTTGCTTGGTTATGCTCCCTAAACGTTAGGTCGTCAGACATTATTATTCCCAAATCCTTTATATGCTGTTTTCCTACTTTGGGTACATTTGATTGTGTTTTGTATCCTGTATTATGTTTAAGGTCCTCATTTGTACCGTACCTGACTTGTTACTCTGTGTTCTGTTCGACAGGAAATTGAGTATCTAGCATCCTACTTTACCAGTTATTCCCATTGACCTCATTTTATGTGCAATCACTCCTTGATCACATTTGTCGAATGCCTTTGCATAGTCTGTGTATACTACATTTGCATTTTGCTTTTCTTCTAGAGCTTCTGGGGTTTTGACATAGTGGTTGAGTAACTGTGACAGACAGGATCTTTCCGCTCTAAATTCATGTTGTCCTGAGTTGTGTAACTCATTATTTTCCATAAAACTAGAAATTTGATTCCTAATCACTCTTTCAAACACTTTTATTATGTGTGATGTTAGTGCAACTGGCCTATAATTTTTTCCCAGGGCTTTACTTCCCCCCCTTGTGCAAAGGAGCTATATCTGCTGATTTAAGTGCTGCTGGTATCTCCCCTGTATCCAGGCTCTTTCTCCATACTACGCTGAATTCTCTCGCTACTGGTACTTTACATTTCTTTATGAATATTGAATTCCATGAGTTAGGCCCAGGAGCTGAGTGCATAGGCATATTGTCAATTTCTGTGTCAAAGTCTTCCGAGTTCATGTTAATATCCGTTATATTATCTGCACCTTGAATGTCATTCATAAAGAAGCTGTCTGCGAAGCCGTCTGCGTCATCAACTTTCATGTTGTTTATTGGTGTGCTAAACATAGCCTCATACTGGCTTCTTAAAATTTCACTAATTTCTTTGTTGTCCTCTGTGTACGTACATTCAGTTGTAATTAAAGGTCCAGTACTGGTGGAGGTTTTTGATTTTGATTTTGCATATGTGAAAAATAATTTTGGATTTTTCTTCATCTCTTGTACAGCTTTGTTCCAATTCCATTTCCTCACTCATTTGATCGCTTCAACGTTTGTTCTATTTCTTCAGTACAGCATCTCTAGTGTGAAAAGTTCAGTAGTCGATATTTCCATAACTTTACATTTGCTCGTGTTGAACTCCAGTAGCCATTTCTCTGACCATCTCTGCAACCTGTTTAAGTCCTCTTGGAGGATCCTACAATCCTCAACTGTCACAAATCTTTTCAACAACTTTGCATCATCCGCAAACATCGACATGTAGGATTCTACTCCTGTAAACATGTCGTTAACGTATATTAGAAATAGAATTAGTCTCAGCACCGATCCTTGAGGTACTCCACTCGTTACTGTTTGTCAGTCCGACGTCTCGCCCCTTACCCTCTCTGGCTCCTTCCTGTTAGGTAGTTCCTTACCCATGCTAGGGCCTTTCCACTCACTCCCGCCTGCATTTGAATAGCAGTCTCATGTGCAGTACTGTATCAAAGGCTTTTTGGCAGTCCAGAAATGTGCAGTCTGCCCAACCTTCTCTGTCCTGCCTTATCCTCGTTATGTTATCATAGAATTCCAAAAGGTTTGTTAGGCAAGATTTTTCTTTTCAGAACCCATGTTGATATTTGTTTACAAATCAAATATTCTTTAGGTGTGCAACCAGTCTTAGCCTAATTATTCTTTCAAGTATTTTACAGGGGATGCTTGTCCGTGATACAGGTCTATAGTTAAGTGCCTCCTCCCTATCACCTTTCTTGAAAATCGTTACATCATTTGCCCTCTTCCAGCGACTGGACAATTCTCCCGACATAAGTGATCCATTAAAGATCCTTGCCAGAAGCACGCTGAGGGCCTGCGCTGTGTCTTTTAGTATCCACGGTGATACTTTGTCTGGTCCAACCGCTTTAGTTGCATCCAGTGTTGTGCGTCGGTTCTCGCGCCCTACTTCTGGCAGGTGAGAAGTGAGAACCAGGCCTCCTGATTGGTGGTCTGGTCGACCAGACTGTTGTACGCGGATCCTCACAGCCTGTTGATCAGTTATCCTTTGGAGGCGTTTATCAAGTTCTCCTTTGAACACCATGAGAAGACGGCCATTTATGGGGTTTAGTAATAGTTGCTGTATATTATCACCAGCGTTTGTAGTAATATATTAAACAAATTTGTTATTTTAAAATGTTGTTTAAATGTAGTGTTATTTTTACTCTTAAATGTGAGGGGTAAAAATTTGTGAATATTTAAAGCGGGTATAGTTTAATAGCTGTAATATAATAGCTAATAACAACGGTAATAGTTTAAAATTAATTTATATTTAAATATTGTATTCCGTTATTATTAATTAGTTCGTTACTTGGTCGTCTGGTGGAATATTGTACTATCTTGAGGGATCTTGAGATGATTTCGGGGCTTAGCGTCCCCGCGGCCCGGTCCTCGACCAAACCTCCTTTTTGTTACAGACCTCCCAGGAAGCAGCCCGTAGCAGCTGTCTAACTCCCAGGTATCTGTTTACTGCTAGGTAACAGGGGCATCAGGGTGAAAGAAACTGCCCATTTGTTTCCACCTCCACCGGGGATCGAAGCTATGACCTCAGGACTAAGAATCCGAAGCGCTGTCCACCCAGCTGTCAGGCGCCTCTTAACTTAAACTACTAACTTAAAGTAAAATAATAATGATGATATTATCATCTTAACTAGCATTAGTTAAGTAAAATTACATATGTATTCTTTCCTTACAGACATACATGGACGCATGCGGGAAGGGGAGGAGGACAGTTGATGTGAATACTAAGCTACCCAGAGCCCGGGTGTTGTTATAAGGATGACGGCCCCACTGCGAAGAGTCAAGCTGACAGAGCTCAACGCCCACTTGGTGTGTGTACTGTGCTCGGGATATTTTGTTGATGCCACCACCATTATTGAGTGCCTGCACACCTTTTGCAAGACATGCATCGTGCGCTACCTGCAAACCTCGTCTTTCTGTCCCATCTGTGATGTGCAGGTTAGTTGTGCCAGCTGCACACGTCGTCTTCTCTCAAACAATTCAGGCGTTACTGTCATTTTAGATCAGTATTTTGTAACCTTAAGATTATGTAAAATTTCATGTTACGTAACTATTATATCTTATGAATTTTTAGATCTTATGGATTAAAAAACGTTTTTGTGTGTGTTTTACAGGTTCACAAAACTAAACCGCTTTTGTCTCTGCGTGAGGACCGGACTCTACAGGATGTTGTCTTCAAACTGGTGCCTGGCTTGTTTCACTCTGAAATGAACAGACGGTTCTGTTTTTATAAAGAACATCCAGAAGCTGGTGAGTTCGTTAACAAGTACACAGACCACGGATCTTTGTGAAAATAAAACGTTTCATATATTACCTTTCCTACCATTTCTCTTATTTACTCTAAATCTTAGCAGGTTATAAATATAAAATAGTTTAACTTTAAATTTCAGAGTATCTTTTCTGGAGTTGTTTTTCAGTTACAAGCTTTAAACAGTGTTTTTCCTTATTAAAAATCCCTATTTTTTGTGTTTTAGGCGGGGACAAAACTGAGCAAAGCTTGAGAGAACGGCAGCACTTCTTCCACGTGGACGACCAGATCTCCTTGTCCCTGGAGCACCTGCCTGCGCCCCCCGCCCTAACCCACTCCCTTCTTCATTCCCATGTCATGAAACCTCTCAAGGTCAGTAATGGCCAGTTAGAGAAACAAAAGGTGGGGGATGAAGAAAAGGAGGGAATAACAGGAGCGAAGGAGGAAATTAAGAAGGAGGAAGGTGGCGAAGAGCGAGAGGTGAATGGTGTTAAGGTAAGGAATCAAATATCAAATCTCCCGTGTATACAAATAATTTGGTAAAATGAAGTTAGGCTCAAAGTGTCTGTTGAAGAGATCAGTAGTTGCTGAAACTTATTGGTAATATGAGGGGTAACTGCTTGATGGGGTTCTGGGAGTTGTTCTACTCCCCAAGCCCGGCCCGAGGCCAGACTTGACTTGAGAGCTTGGTCCAACAGGCTGTTGTTTGGAGCGGCTCGCAGGCCCACATATCCTCCACAGCCCGGTTGGTCCGGCACATCTTGAAGAAAACTATCTAGTTTTCTCCTGAAGATGTCCACGTTTGTTCCGGCAATATATCTTACACTCGTTAGGAGGGTGTTGAACAACCGTAGACCTCTGATGTTTATACAGTGTTTTTGTTTTCTGATTGCCTATGGCACCCCTGCTCTTCACTGGTTCTATTCTGCATTTTCTTCCATATATGTTTTTGCCCCCCCCCCCCCCCCCCCCCACACAACCCGTTCTCGCAAATTCGTAAAGTCAATATTGACTTATTAACTACGTGCATAGGTGATATACTAAACATAATAGATACCCCTAAAAAGATTCATAGAAAACACCGACCTTACCTAATCTTGTTAGTATCTTAAGATAAGCATCTTATTGCTTCGTAATTACAATTATTACTTAACCTATACCTATTATAGGTTAGGTAATAATTGTAATTACGAAGCAATAAGATGCTTATCTTAAGATACTAACAAGGTTAGGTAAGGTCGGTGTTTTCTATGAATCTTTTTAAGGGTATCTATTATGTTAAGTATGTCACCTATGCACATATTTAATAAGTCAATATTGACTTATTAAATTTGCGAGAACGGGTTGCCCCACAGTATGCTATTTTATTGTGTAGATTTGGGACCTGGCCTTCCAGTATTTTCCAGTTGTACATTATTTGATATCTCTCTCGTCTCCTTTCTAGTGAGTACATTTGGAGTGTTTAATAGGGCTACTGCATCTAGTTGATTAGGTTTCCTTTGATTCCACTCTGATATAAAGATGTTTTAATGTTCATACTTGATGCTTGGCGCTGAAGGTGTATACTAGTAGTGGCCAGAATAGTCTGTTTCGACTGGAAATACCTGTCAATATGAACCTTGAAGGTTGCTTTTGGTCATGTGGCCTTTTCATATGACATTGATTCCTGGTGGATTATTTGTCATATACTGTTGGTGTGTGGTAAATATATTTCGTAGAATTACTCCGTGGTACTTGTCGCTGTTGTAATCTCTCTTGGGGTTATTGTCAAGGTGGTTGTGATCTGTTTTATGGTTTTTGTTAAGGTGGTTGTGATCTGTTTTATGGTTTTTGTTAAGGTGGTTGTGATCTGTTTTATGGTTGTCAAGGTGGTTGTGATCTGTTTTATGGTTGTCAAGGTGGTCGTGATCTGTTTTATGGTTATTGTCAAGGTGGTTATGATCTGTTTTATGGTTATTGTCAAGGTGGTCGTGATCTGTTTTATGGTTATTGTCAAGGTGGTTATGATCTGTTTTATGGTTGTCAAGGTGGTCGTGATCTGTTTTATGGTTATTGTCAAGGTGGTTGTGATCTGTTTTATGGTTATTGTCAAGGTGGTTGTGATCTGTTTTATGGTTATTGTCAAGGTGGTTGTGATCTGTTTTATGGTTATTGTCAAGGTGGTTGTGATCTGTTTTATGGTTGTCAAGGTGGTCGTGATCTGTTTTATGGTTGTCAAGGTGGTCGTGATCTGTTTTATGGTTGTCAAGGTGGTTGTGATCTGTTTTATGGTTGTCAAGGTGGTTACGATCTGTTTTATGGTTGTCAAGGTGGTTGTGATCTGTTTTATGGTTTTTGTTAAGGTGGTTGTGATCTGTTTTATGGTTATTGTCAAGGTGGTTGTGATCTGTTTTATGGTTGTCAAGGTGGTTGTGATCTGTTTTATGGTTGTCAAGGTGGTTGTGATCTGTTTTATGGTTGTCAAGGTGGTTGTGATCTGTTTTATGGTTGTCAAGGTGGTTGTGATCTGTTTTATGGTTGTTAAGGTGCTTGTGATCTGTTTTATGATTGTAATCACAGATGTTACATCTGGGTTGGCAGATTTTCAAATGATTGTCATTGTTATGTCTCGCCAGTGTACAAATTACAGAGGTGTTATGATTGTATGTTAGAGGCATCAGGGCACCAGGGATAACCTTTCCATGATTCTGAAGATCAATCTGCCCGATGCCCGACCAGGCCTCCTGGTTGCTGGACTGGTCAACCAGGCTGTTGGATGCAGCTGCTTGCAGCCTTACGTATGAATGACAGCCTGGTTGATCAGGTATCCTTTGGAGGTGTTTGTCAAGTTCTCTCTTGAACAGGGTGAGGGGTCGGCCAGTTATGTCCCTTATGTGTACTGGAAGCGTGGTGAACAGTCTCGGGCCTCTGATGTTAAGAGTTCTCTCTGTGCATCTCTTCTTTTCAACGGGGATATTCTGCACATCCTGCCATGCCTCCTGGTCTCATGGTGATGTTATTTCTGTGTGCAGGTTTGGGACCAGCCCCTCTACTATTGTCCATGTGTAAATTATTGTGTGCGTCTCCCCCGCCTGCGCTCCAGAGAATACAGATGTAACAATAAGCGGTCCCACTAATTTAGATGTTTTATTGAGTGATAATTTGATCACTAGCATAGTCAATTGTATAACAATAGTGATAATTTCAATATCATCAAAAAACATTTTCCTGATCACAGTAATGACATTGTTGTGATTATCACAAGTGTTTAAATTTTGTTTTATGATATGGGAACTTCCCGTGTTCAGTTAATAGTCTCCGTTATTTGCTGTTGCTTAGCATTGGAAGTTTGTTTAACATGTACAATATTCATGTTTACTAAATTTGCTAAGACTGGGATTTGAGGCTTTATCTTCTTGTGGGAGTTATTTGTTAAATATTTCTATTAACGTAAACATGGTTGTCTTCCTCAGGTGGCACACAAAAGGTACCTAAGGTGTCCAGCAGCCGTGCAAGTGTCACATTTGGAGAAGTTCATCCGACTAAAGTATAGCCTGGCGGCCATCACTCATAAGGTATTTTAACTTGCATTTTTATTTGTGAGTAACATTAATATTTGGAATTAAAATATATTATTTCTCAAATAGTTTTCGGCTTTTTATAGATTAATATTGCGTCCGCAGGTAGATATTATGCATGGTGGCGACTGCTTGATGGGTGAATTAACACTGCTGGATGTTGTATACATGTATAAGTGGACGGAGGAAGCTCCTCTCCGTCTGATGTACACTGTTACTGCTATCCCTCAATCCCGCAAGAGACCCAGGCCAAATGGTACGCGAGCACCAGGTATTGCTGATCCTGATGTTCCACCTGCAAAGATTCCAAGAACTCAGTCACCCAGTGTTAACCAGACATCCCACCTCCAGGTGTCACCACATACACCAAAAGGGCAGGATGCTTCAAGGGACCAGAGTGAGCGCCCATCACTTACTATTGCCGATGGTGATGACATGAAAATGGAAGTAGATAAGCTTGATCAAGATCAGCTTTCAGAAAGTACTTCTAATGCAGTTATTGATAAAACCATCAGTGTGCCGAGTGTAATGCCAACAGCTGATTCCGTGTGTCCTCAGACTCCTTCCACCGTCTCTAACACCAGTCTTGTTAGTAATAGTGGCAGTAGCACCAATAAGGTCAAGCCATTAACTGGCTCTGCTCCTGTCAGGGGTCGACCAGCTCTTACAACCACCACTTCAGCTACAACAACACCAAGAGTGGCCTTGACACGCATCTCCACACCAGTAACTCCTGTCTCAAGTACTGCCGTCTCTGTTCAAGTGTCTGAACCTATAATAACCTCGCATGCCACTGTAACACCACCCATTACCATGACTAATATCACTACAACTACCTCTCACAATAGTCTTGGTTTTGCACCGGTAAATGCAAGGATGCATATGTCACACTCTTCTGCAAATAGCATTACAGAGGCTGCACTTAAGCCAGTGCGTGCTTTGGGACCATACATCAACAAAATGCCACAGCCAATCATTCCTACACGTCCTCGATTGGGTCGCCCACCAAACTCATCTCGAATAAATGCTGCAACCATGAAGCCACCAGCTCCGAGATTGGGTGATGTACGCAATATTCGCCCAACACTGCCAGGTGGCAAGAAAATGTCTCCAACTGGTGTGAGCTGCCGGGGAAACCAAACGGTTTCGGCAAGTCTTAATGTACAGAGCCGCTTGAGCAGTATTAGTGGACCGCCTGTTAAACTTGGTGCTACAAAAGTTTCAGTTAAAAGGTCATGTGACGTCATTAAAGATATTGGACAGACTCCAAGCCAACCACACGAACAGGTAACGAACCCTCCACTTTCATTTTCCTTGCCAACTAATACATCAACAACAATAGGCTGTCAGGCAACCCTGTGCCTCTCGGACAACCTCACTACTCAATCAATTCCTTCTAACAGTCCACCCACTACATCAACTAACCACAATCTGGAAACAACTTTAGACACAATTGACATGCAAGCTATACAGATGACTCCTAATACCCAGGTGGTGCAGCAAACTGTCAAAGTTCAGGCATGCCAGGAACCTCTGGAAACCCAAGCTGCTCAGAGGCTGCAAGATAAAGTCAACAAAAGTCCTAATCAGTCCACTCAAAGACCTGGCTCTCAACCCAATCAGCGACCTAATTCCCAATCCAATCAACCATCATCCAGCACAAAGGCTAATCAGCGCCCTCAAGACTCCCAAATTAATCAAAGGCCCTCCACTACTGAAACCAATCAACATTCTCCTGGCACTCAAAGTCAGCGGCCTCTTGGCACTCAGGCCAGTCAGCGACAAACTTCTAATCAGCAACCCACAACCATTAATAATCAGCGTCCTGTTACCAGTGCTAGTCAGCATCCTGCTACCAATGCCAGCCAACGGCCTGCTACCAATACCAGCCAACGGCCTGCTACCAATGCCAGCCAACGACCAGCTACCAATGCCAGTCAACGACCAAATACCAATGCTAATCAACGACCAGCTACCAATCCCAATTTACGACCAGGTGGTACCAATGCCAATCAGCAAGCTGGTACCAATAGCAATAAAAAAACTACTACCAATACTACTCAGCAATCTTGTAGTACCCAACCCAGTCAAGAGTGTCAGAGTACCCAAGGTAATCAACAATCTCCCAGTGGCCAAACTAACCAACTACTCTCTGGCACACAAGTGACTGAGCAGCCTTCCACTACCCAGGCCAGTCAGAGAGTATCAGGTACTCAAAATACTCAGAGCTCCCCAATTGGCAATACAATGAAAAGGCCGATTAATCATGTAAACCAGCGACTAACCAATAGCATCAGTGCCCAGCGACCACGAACATCGGTTCAACATCCATCTGTAAACTCGGTTTCCCAACGGTCAACATCCGTAACTTCATGCCCTCCCAGTCCAGCACCCCACCGAGAACTCAGTAGTCCAGCATCTCACCGAGAACCCAGTAGTCCAGCACCCCACCTAGAACCCAGTAGTCCAGCACCCCACCTAGAACCCAGTAGTCCAGCACCCCACCTAGAACCCAGTAGTCCAGCACCCCACCGAGAACCCAGTAGTCCAGCACCCCACCGAGAACCCAGTAGTCCAGCACCCTACCGAGAACCCAGTAGTCCAGCACCTCATAGAGAACCCAGTAGTCCAGCACCCTACCGAGAACCCAGTAGTCCAGCACCTCATAGAGAACCCAGTAGTCCAGCACCCCACCGACAACCAATTAGTAGTCCAGCACCCCACCGACAACCAAGTAGTAGTCCAGCACCACACCGACAGTCTGGAAGCACCACACCACGTCCACAGAATACGATATCAACATCTCCAGTTGCTGGACCCACACCAAAAGCAACTCCATCACCCAGAACCACATCATCACCTTCAACATCCACTGTCTCGTTAACAGTCGGTAATAAGGAGACCATACCAGTTTCAACTTTGGCAAATTCGGGTTATGTTGCAGGGTCTAGCAAATCAAATAGTATGCAAAGTGGAAAATCAAATGGATCAAAGTCCAGTATGGCATTTTCACAAGCACGCTCTGCACATCCACTTGGTAACTCCAATGTCAAAAGTGCACCTTCAAAAAGTCAGTCTACCGCAGGAGTGAAAGGTTCACCTAAGTCACCAGGACGTGGACGTGGTAGTTCTGGGACCCCTAATATTCTTAGCATAGCTCAGTCCTTAGCCAGTCGACAGTTACAGCAGCGTACCTCAACATCCACAAGTACCACCACCACAACCAATGTATCTGCAGCACAAGTTGGCACACACCAAGCTTACACAAGTGCAGCCCTTAACACTAATGTATATCCGAACGCAATTGGTGGTGGACTAGTCTCGCCTGCATTAGCAGCCTATATGGCCTCAGCATATGGTGATCCTTCTGCTCTTACTGACGTAACTGCTATGAGAAATCTGATCACACTTAGCCAGACAGCTGCTTGCATTCGGGAATTTAACCTTGCTGCCATGGTTAAAGCAGCAGAAACGCTTCCTCGTCCCTCTGATCCCACCCCTATTGACCTTTCACCCACATCAAAGGCTGCCCCTCAGACCCCACTTACTAATGGTCGGACTCACACCGCCACTGCGCATGTGCCTACGAACACAAGAACAGTGGCTTCCCACACTTCCAAATCTCCATCATCTAAAGGTCAACGATCAACTGACACGATTGCCTCAACAACTATATCACCCCCAACACCCGAAGTCACCATCACCAAGCTTCCTAATACTCCTGCATCCACCTCTGCAACTGGATCAGGAAAGGGCACCCTTGGATCAACGAAACTTGGTCCCACTAACACCAATACTGTCTCCATCACTAAGCGACCAGCATCCAGTAACCGGATCGCTGTTGCAAAGTCTCCTGCCAACGCCTCGGTTAGACAAATTCCTAACCCTTCCTTTTTACGACACCAGTCCGAGGCACGCAACAACAATAATGTCGCAAAAGCTACATCTCTCTCATCTGCCTCCAGTTCTCAGGCCATGACAACCAGTTCATCCAAAGCGCATTCATCAACCAAACAGTCAACATCTAGTGGACGAATCACTGGGAATTCTCCTCTCAAGGAAACGGGTCCATTACCAGAGACATCATCTATACTAAAAATTGAACATCTTACTAGGTCACTGGCTGCACCTGGTTCACAAGCATATAGGTTTTTTAATGATAGATAGGGAAATATGAGAGTAAATGAAATATTTTCATTTTAGGGATTAAAATCCTCAACTACAAACGGACCTGTATTAACGATGACTTGTTCTTACTGATATAGACAATCACTTTATAACCAGATAGTGAAATAATGAAAATTACCAAATGTTGTGTAAATTAAAAAAAAACTTATAAAAGTAGTGCAGTAACCCAGTGCCTTGTTTTCTGATGTATCCTGAAAATTACTTTACTTACGAATAGAAAGCAGACGGGTGTGTATTGCAGATTGTCAAACTGGAATCCTAAAATCAGATGAAACACAAAAACATATGGAAGAGTAAGTGGCAACAATTATTAAATTCAAATAAAATTTGAGATGTTCGGTGATGAAATAACTGTTAAATATTTTAGTGATGAACGAGTACGCACATGCATTGTCTTGTGGAGTCTTGTCAGTTTATGGCTCGTGCATTGAAATGTAAGAACAACGTTTTAACGGACATAATTGAATTCTTGTCACACTCGTAAATCACTTATTGAATTTTTATGTCCGTTGATTAGACAGCTGTAGCCTGTACGCTAATGGGCATATATATAATGCATTATATGTATCAAACTGAAAGACGAGGAGTCACAATAATATGGCTGAAATACATTGTTCAAACCACACACTAGAAAGTGAAGTGACGATGACGTTTCGGTCCGCCCTGGACCATTCTCAAGTCGATTTCTCAAAAAATCAACTTGAGAATGGTCCAGGACGGACCGAAACGTCGTCCCTGCACTTTTTAGTGTGTGGTTTGGCCAACATATCAAACTGGAACCGTAAAATCAGAGATATATAATATATATTATGTGTGAGTGTCTATTTGATAAAAGTGATCACATGCACAATATTTCTCATTGACTGATTTACATATCACAAGTGTGGTGGGCCTGACAGTGTAGCTGCTTATCTAGCCTTGCTGGCCACAGTCACTACACAGCCAAAGTTTTAAACATTATCATATTTTTTTAAACTTTGCGTGCAAACAAGTAATATTCCAAGTTAGAAAATCAATATTATTTACAATTTGGTTAATAAAGAAGGGAAATGTATTATTCAGGTCCATAGTCGTAAATTTCTCTTTGAAAACTCTTGTCCACATTTGTAAAGATGTTTTGTAAAAAAATATATATATATACAGTATATATATCAGAGTTAGATATTTTGTTTTTCGGTGAGTAAATGATAGTCATGGAAATAACAAGTTCATACAGCTTGTTATAGATTCATATATTTATATATATGTATGTATGTAGGTGTGTATTTACATTTCTAATGGTAATGTAAGGATGGTGAATGTGTCATATTATGTAACTTGTACATACAAGTTTTTATTGTATATATGGAGGGTTATGTAAATAAATTTTAAATACAAAAATTTTTTTTTGACGTTTTTAATGTCCTTGAAAACAAGTTTTAAAATACTTCATTGGATACTTATATAATAGAGCTGTATGGGAATTTTGATGAAAGTAAATAATAAAGTTCATATACTGAATTTTAAGTTTTGAAATATAAAGTAATGACTCATTACAAAACAGCAAATGATCTCAGTAAATAGGGGGGGAAAATTCCAATATAGCTTCATTACCCAGAAATACTCAACATTTCAGGTGTGGATTATCCACCATGCATTTATACTTAAACACGTTGACAACAAATATTTCGGCAAGCAGTTCAACCAGACACACAAGGTGTAATGTTACCATTGCATAAACCACAAGAAAATCCTTACAAAGAAGATATTATATTGTGATGTGAGGAAAAGAAGCCCTGCTGAATATAACATCCCTTTCAATAAAAACTCATTAAATAAAATCAAAGTTGCAACTACAGGAGAGTCAAAGTCTTAACAAATATGACCATTTGTATTAATAAACAACGGATTATTAAAACTTTTTGACAGTCTTGAAGTTTTTGCAATTTTATAAAGTTAATTCAGTTTCATAATAAATTTCGTTCATTTTTGACGAAAAATCTTGAGTCCCATTCGTGAACTTATCAATATACACCTGTCATCCTAACTTGATATCTTGTCTATACACCTGTTATCCTCGTGATCTTGTCACAATACACCTGTGATCTTCACTTGTGATCTTGTCACAATACACCTGTGATCTTCACTTGTGATCTTGTCACAATACACCTGTGATCTTGTCACAATACACCTGTGATCTTGTCACAATACACCTGTGATCTTCACTTGTGATCTTGTCACTATACACCTGTGATCTTATCACTATACACCTGTCATCCTCACTATGGTGATCTTATCATACACCTGTCATCCTCACTATGGTGATCTTGTCACTATACACCTGTCATCCTCACTATGGTGATCTTGTCACTATACACCTGTCATCCTCACTATGGTGATCTTGTCACTATACACCTTTGACTGTTGATTATTGTCGCCGGAGGCGGTTAGTTTATTGTGCACCCCATACTCATCCTGTGAGCGGTAGCGCAAAAAGCATTACAGAGGGCACAAAAGGTCTTTATCAGACCTCATATTAGATTATTACATAAACAATTTCATGTATCCTTCACACCTTATAGTTACAATGTCAGATAATTACAGAGAAAGTGCTATTTCAAGAGCTATATATTTACAGTAAGTCATTATACATTAATGGTAGGTCTTATCGCTAATACATAATAGTTTGACCAATAGAGATAGTCATAGGGTAGCTTCTGTTTATTATTAGTCTTCACAATACACTACTTGTTTCTTAATCTAATATGTCGTTTATCTACTGGAAGCAAAATGTGGATACAGTGCAAGGATTTCAGGTAATTTATCCCTGGTAATAAGATAGGTTGCCATATCATACAGAGTGAGCTTTGATTTATCTCTAAATGGCTAAATTTTACTACAATCCAAGATATAGTGTTCGAGTGTGTGTCCCTGTCTTTGTCCACACACTTTACACTTTACTTCATCTAGATCCCTATACAAGCCGAACTGCCAGAGATACTTGTAGCCAAGTCTTATACGAGCTGTGACAACATCTGTTAGTCTACTTACTTTGTTACTTGCCCCATACACATGTTTTACTTCATACATTTCATTGTGATGAACAATGGACCTGCTAGTTCCAGTTTGCACTGTTCTACTTTCTTCAAATTCATCCAGGAGTTCTCGTCTAATGACACTTTTAAGGGACCTATTTGATAACTCAAGATTCCGTTCAATACTGTCTTTATTTACTGCAGCCTTAGCAAGGGCGTCAACTTTGTCATGTTCCTGCATGCCAATGTGAGAAGGAATCCACAACATTTTTATATTTACCCTCTTGCTAAGTATTCTTATATATCTACGTCTAGCTTCCAAGACAAGCACGTTATTACTTGATTGAAAACTGTTTATTGCTCGTAGTGAGGAAAGGGAGTCGGAAATAATTAAGCTCTCTACTTCAGTGTTGTCAATAATTTCGAGTGCTACCAGTATTGCTACCAACTCGGCTTGCATTGTGGACGCCCAGTTACTAATTCGGTTATTCCTTTGAATTGTGCTGCCATCGGGCTGATTAGCAATAACAGCACTTCCTGCAGCTGTATTGAGTGATCCATCAGTGTATATGGTCTGTGATATGTTGTTTTCAGCTTGTATATTGTGAATATGTTCTATGGTGCTTAATTTAGCAGCAAGCTGAGCATAAGGGTTGTTTGTGATTAGTTTCTTGGTGGGGTATGCAGGGGTCAGGATGTCAAAAGGTACTATCTGCCAGGGTGGAAGTGCTGTACTCTTTCATCTGTATATACATCGTGCAGTCCCATCATTTTAATATGAGTGGCTGTTCTTAGAATCTATTTAGACTCGCTAGTTCCATTTCGTATGTGTTCTAACAGTGCAACTGACACATTGTTTTTGTTATCATACAGAAGCTTTAGTCCCATCATAAGATTAATTTCAAATATACTGTCTCGAATGCTAAGTATATTTAATTCTTTCCGCATGTTGAGAACACCTGTTATCCTCACTCGCAATCTTGTCACTGTACACCTGTCATCCTCACACAGGACTCTTAGCACTACTACAATAGGTATGATTCAAAATTATTATTATCCCAAAACTGTTTTGCATTTGTTTTAGAAATATATATATCATGGTGTCTGAAGATGGAGACATGAATGTATATACACCCGTAACCACCTCTCTCCCTCACGCACTTGATAATGGTCCGGGACGAACTGAAACGTCGTTGGTTCTCCATCTTCTTACCCTGTGGTTTGGTCATCATCATCATAAAGCACTGCAAAGCCTAAGTAAAAATCGGGCAGAAAATCTTGCGATAGTCGCTGAAATTAAGAGAGCTGTGAGAGTACTTACCAATCAGGGAAGAGTCGTCAAGTTTCTGTGGATCCCCTCCCATGTTGGAATATGTGGGAATGAACGAGCAGATGTGCTGGCTGCTGAAGGCGCTGAGGGAGACCATATTGAATACTTCATACCCAAGATTCAACTACAAATTAGAGGTATTATCAGGCAACATCACCGTGACAAGGTAACTCAGGAAAGGAGGATAGAAACACAAACCAGTGAATCTATACAACGGTACAACATGGTTGCAGCTGGCAATCCCAATCATTATGGCCGAAGAGGAGGAGGACGCGGGAGAGAATCAGTAATAGCAAGAATCATATCTCGATGGATACAAATATCCATGGAGATATGGAATGGAAACAGTTGATCAGCGAAGTTGCAGAATCTGTGGTGAGAGTGACGGACACCGCCTTGACCACTATCTACGTGAATGTGAACACCTGAGAGACATCAGAAATATGTGTAGAAATATTAAACCCCACATTGTTTGAGCTAGGAAAACACTGTCAAATATTGATACTGTTCTTAAAAGATTCCCCCATTTTGCACCCGCAAGAAACCGTAAGCTATTAAGGGTTGATAGATAATGCACCCCATATGTTATACTCAAATTGTATGTCGGTTGTGACATAACCAATCACAGGCGAGTAGGCCTATGACGTCATGCCAGACAAAGGAGCACCAGCCATGCTTGCAGCAGGCTCAGTATTCTCACAGACTCAGAGTAAGTTGGACCTCGGCTGGCCAGTTATACACCTTGTTGTCTTAATCAATAAAACTACAGAAGTGCCTACTGTGTATAACATTCAACCCAACAAGGCAACGAATACTGGTAGCAGCAGTGGGATCCAGAATTATTTTTCTGGAAACGAAAATTCAAGTACCCACATCGCCACATGTTCCAGCCGCCCATCCTGTGAGTGGTAGTTTATTGTGCACCCCATACTCCTCCTGTGAGCGGTAGTTTATTGTGCACCCCATACTCTTCCTGTGAGTGGTAGTTTATTGTGCACCCCATACTCATCCTGTGAGTGGTAGTTTATTGTGCATCCCATACTCATCCTGTGAGTGGTAGTTTATTGTGCACCCCATACTCATCCTGTGAGCAGTAGTTTATTGTGCACCCCATACTCATCCTGTGAGCGGTAGTTTATTGTGCACCCCATACTCTTCCTGTGAGTGGTAGTTTATTGTGAACCCCATACTCATCCTGTGAGCAGTAGTTTATTGTGCACCCCATACTCATCCTGTGAGCGGTAGTTTATTGTGCACCCCATACTCTTCCTGTGAGTGGTAGTTTATTGTGCACCCCATACTCATCCTGTGAGTGGTAGTTTATTGTGCACCCCATACTCATCCTGTGAGTAGTAGTTTATTGTGCACCCCATACTCCTCCTGTGAGCGGTAGTTTATTGTGCATCCCATACTCTTCCTGTGAATGGTAGTTTATTGTGCACCCCATACTCATCCTATGAGTGGTAGTTTATTGTGCATCCCATACTCATCCTGTGAGTGGTAGTTTATTGTGCACCCCATACTCATCCTGTGAGCAGTAGTTTATTGTGCACCCCATACTCCTCCTGTAAGCAGTAGTTTATTGTGCACCCCATTTGAAGCATTATGTTTAGATTTGTGTAAATGGCTCAATGTTGACACATTGTAAGGTATAGTGGTGTAGTGTGTGTGTGTGTGTGTGGTTGTACTGGTACACACACTCCTGTCATCTTGATCACGGTGTGAGATCACCTCAGGCGGTGATCAGGATGACAGGAAGGTTTTGCTTGGTACATTTCATTGTGATAAATAGTAGATCTACTGGTTCCTATTTCCACTCTACTACTTTATTCGGATTCATCCAAGAGTTTTCGTTTAATGCCAAGCTTTTATCTAAAATTATTTTTGACTATAAAACACTTGGAAGAGATATTAGGATAAGGATTTGGGACAAGACGGAGGGCAGGAATATTGCGTCAGCCAGAAAAATGATAGGATTGTTTAGTTAGTTTAGTTCATTTATTATGCACCCCATACCCATCTTGTGGGCGGTAGTG